CTTCAGCCCACTTTTCTTCACCCCACTTTTCTTCAGCCAATTTTTCTTCAACCAACTTATTACATATATATATATATATATATATATAAAAGTATGCAATGATGAAGGTTGAATTCCAGCTTGGTTACACGTTCGTATTCACTTTCTAATATATATATATATATATATATATATATATATATATATATATATATATATATATATATATATATATATATATATATATATATATATATATATATATATATATATATATATATATATATATATATATATATATATATATATATATATATATATATATATATATATATATATATATATATATATATATATATATATATATATATATATATATATATATATATATATATATATATATATATATATATATATATATATATATATATATATATATATATATATATATATATATATATATATATATATATATATATATATATATATATATATATATATATATATATATATATATATATATATATATATATATATATATATATATATATATATATATATATATATATATATATATATATATATATATATATATATATATATATATATATATATATATATATATATATATATATATATATATATATATATATATATATATATATATATATATATATATATATATATATATATATATATATATATATATATATATATATATATATATATATATATATATTATATTATATTATATTATATTACACCGTACTTGGAAGCCTTCAGCCACATTCAAGCATGCAAATCTGCCCCAGCCTAAACAAAACCCCATCTGCTCCATCTTGGAACTCCAAGTAACAACACCAAGCCGTGACCTTTGCCTCAATAGAATAAAAAACCAACCGCAACTTCCAGTGCAGCCCGGCCACGAAAACTCCAAGATTTCGGCCGCAACCTCTTCGCAAGCATCAAATTTGGTTGTTATTTTCAACAGCCCCAAACAATTCCACCTTATTCTCAAAATACCCCTGCATTTATCACTAGACTGAAATATAACACAGCAACAGATCATTAAGCTTTTAAGTACATACCTGCAAAATTCCAACAATAAAAAGGAGCATAACTGAAACCCATCAGTAAGACCCGTTTGGTTGGCTCGAAGGGTTCTGGTTGCGGAATTTTACAAAATAACAGGCCTCCAATTAAGAGGGTTTCTCATAACAGATTCTGGGAAATTTTAGATATTTATTTTCCCCAAACCATATAACTGAAGTATAGGGTTGTCCCCAAGCATATCTTATACGTATCTGAGGAGGATATGTCTGGAAAAACAGAAAACCATCTGATGAAATGCTCATTAAATTTGTGTAAACAGAAATAAGTAAATAATTAGAATATGGGGCAGACTCTACACACACTCACCAAAGCAAACTTGAACTTTTTCAGTTCATATTCCTCAGACTTCCATTGGCCTTTTACATCTATCATTCCATTGTCTAATCTTTGATAAAATGATCAGAGATGATCAGGCATAACAGCGAAAAAAATACGTCTAGTAAAATTGTTTAAAAGAAAAGAAAGATTTTAACCCAAAACTAAAACGAAAAACATATGCGCGTATGGAACTAATATTTGTCTGCAGAAACTGCATGCTTCTAGATTACCAAAATTTCAAAAAACACCAAAATTTCAAAAAACGTCCATCCAAACTATAGCACTAGAGCGTACCTCCATTTGCTAAAAAGAGTTTCCTTCGATGAGATTAGGTGCAACTCCAGATGGTTTGTGGAAGAGGAGCTTCTGTGATGGTAGTGCCACTTGAATCACCTGCATCAAGCAGGAGCATTACCGAGTAATAAAAATTTAAGTCAAAAATGGGAGAACCATGTTCCACAATACAAGCTATGCAGTATAAAAGATAACATCACCTTTCTTTTACACATAAAAAGCTTCTACTGATGATAAACTCAAAGATAAAGTTCAAATGATAAATTTACACACAGCTAGTTCTTAATTTGACACCTAACTGAACTAAAACTTTTATGTAACTTTTGAAAATGCATGATCTAGAAGAGAACTATAAAATGGCCCACATGGCGCTGTTGATTCCATGACGCGGCTCAACAAAGCAACCGCACCATCCTACCAATTTAAAGTTTGAGAATAGGTCGAGGGCATTGCGCCCCCTGATGCCTCTAATAATTGGCTTTACCCGATAGAACTTATTCATGGGCTCTAGCTATCCTGAGGGAAACTTCGGAGGGAACCAGCTACTAGACGGTTCGATTAATCTTTCGCCCCTATACCCAAGTCAGACAAACGATTTGCACGTCAGTATCTCCACGAGCCTCCACCAGAGTTTCCTCTGGCTTCACCGCGCTCGGGCATAGTTCACCATCTTTCGGGTACCGATAGGCATGCTCTCACACGAACCCTTCTTAAAAGATCATGGTCGGTCAGCAGTGCAACCCTCAAAGGGATCTCACTAGTCAGCTTCCTTATGCCTTACGGGTTTAATCGCCGGTTGACTCGCACACATGTCAGACTCCTTGGTCCGTGTTTCAAGACGGGCCAAATGGAAAGCCCAAAGGCGGATGCTAGGAGCACGCAGATGCCAAGGCATGCCAAGACAGTGCATGCTGGCAACCACGATAGCGTCGACGAAGTCTCCACGGGCATATCAATAGCTTGAGCTTTGGCCGCCGCCACTGTTGCAATCCGTATCAGTCAACGTCCTAAGCCGATTGGCGAACCGGCTTGTGACTGTTCCACATCCGATCGGGGCGTATCGTTGGCCCCCATCCGCTTCCCTCCCGACAATTTGAAGTACTCTTTGACTTGCTTTTCAAAGTCTTTTTCATCTTTCCCTCCCAGTACTTGTTTGCTATCGACCACTCACCGAGATTTAGCCATGGACAGAATTTACCGCCCGATTAGGGCTGCATTCCCAAACAACCCGACTCACCGACAGCGCCTCATAATGCAACATAGTCCGGGCACAACAGGGCTCTCACCCTGCCAGGGCCACCTTCTAGTGGACTTGGGCCCGTTCCGCCGTTGAGGACGCTTCTCCAAACTACAATTCGGACACCATAGGCGCCCAATTCTACGAGAATCAACGTAAGTTTTTTTTCCTTCGCTTATTGATATGCTTAAATTTAGCAGGTAACTCTGCCTGACCTGGGGTCGTGTTAAAAACTAAGCTAGAGCCAAGCATTTTTTTCGAGCCCTCGATGCTCGATGATCGCACACGACAGGCAACTGAGATTTCACAACCACTAATTGTATCGTGGCGTGTGTCGCTGAGGACTTTGTATTTATGTCAACTGCGCAACGGAGCGTATAAAAAGCCATCATCCGCCCCCGCAATTCGAGGGAGTAGTGGGGGTAACGACGTGTGACGCCTAGGTAGGCGTGCCCTCAGCCTAATGGCTTCGAGCGCAACTTGAGTTCAAAGACTTGATGGTTCAAGGGATTCTGCAAGTATTGCATTTCGCTATGTTCATCGATGCGAGAGCCAAGATATTCGTTGCCGAGAGTCATTTTGACATATTTGGAGATGACGACGCCATCCGAACACACTGTTTCAGGGGCAACAAGGATGTGCTCTCTCATTCAAGTTCCTTGGCGCAATTCTTTTAAAAGATCCTCTAGGTTGCTTTTGAAAGCTGCTATCAAAAGAAGGGGAGAATAGCCTTTAATGAATATTTTTCAGTTCCCATAATACCATAATTAATTTTTAAAAATGACATTGTCTACCACCACAACCATCACCTCCACCTCCATCACCAATACCACCACCATATCCTCCACCACCATCACCCCCACCTCACCTCCACCTTCATCCCCACCACCACCACAACCTCCACCTTCACCACCACCACCACCACCACCACCACCTCCTTCACCCCTCCTCTGTCACCACCACGACTTTCACCACCACCACTCACTTCTACCACCCACATGTCACCCCTTAATCCAGAATTTAAGAGCATTTCCGAATAAGGGTGTGTCATATCGTAGTTATAAGAGTAAATTCCTATAACCATGATATGATGAGAAATAGAGCCAAACATCATATCTAGTTAATTCATTATCCACAATTACAATAGTTTTACATTAAAATTTACCAAACAGTTTTGACATTGCATTTTATACTAACACCACTTTAAAAATATTATTTACCAAACATTGACAGCAATCCCAAACAGGCTCTAAGGGCCCGTTGGGACTACTTCTATAGAAAACACTTATGCTGAAGAAGATATGACATTGTCGAGTGGGCCCAAACCAGTAGTTCGCCTCATTAACTTATTACTAATCGTTTAGCGCCTGAGCACTCCTTATATATATAAAATATAAATATATAAATATACACATAAATTTCTTCCAATAATACGAGTCTTCGCAACATCCCACCATGATAACAAACTTTCATCCTGAAATTGCCATCTTATGGTGCAATCTTACCTACTCTAGAACTATAATCATAAGTTAGCTCTTGGTTAGGTGGAATGCTCTTCTTAGCGAATAACATCATGTGTGGGATTCTCACATCGTCATGATCATAAAGGACACTTTGGGCAGTCAAATTAGGAGAACTATGATTGACAAATCTTCCCACATTCCCATGTTGTGTGGCATCAATGACAAAACCGTCTCCGAAGAAATTTGGTAACATAGGAAAAGAGACATGTTGAGAAGCATCTCGAAAAGCATGGTCAACAAATTTACCCTTTGTCCAAAAGAAATACTCGTCACTCCCCCTTCTTTGTTTAACTTCTTTCTCTTGAAGAATTTCTCCTACGTACTCACATATGAAACTTCCACGTGGAATATATGATCGTGATCTGACACCCCATCCTTTTGATTTAGTCCTAAAGACTTCAAGTTTAAACTGAATCCCACGTTGACAAATTCTATTTTTGCAAGAAGAGGACTTACACATAGTACCGCAGTCGTAAATAAGGGATTTCCTATCTGTTATTGTGTTGTTGTATGAAAAACCCCCTCCAGTGTTCATTACACAAGGACATGACTTGCATTCTAAGCATCCATGAAGGCAATCGCAACCCCTTTGTTTTGTTGCCTTGAAGAAATTTGGATAAATCACGTAGCGCGTGTAATTGAAAGCTGGATGACTCTCACTATCTATTGCATTGACCACACGAATAGGCATCGTCTCTTTCCCTTCAGAGATATCATTTTTACAAACAATATCCTTCGACATCATAGGCTTTTTCGACTGTTCTGAAACTTTTTCCCATGTGATTATTGGTTGCCTTGGTATCCTTTTCAACAAAGATTTAAACACAAGTTTGTCGAATTCCCCTCTTTCTTGCCAAAAATGCTCGACTTTGTAGAGACCATCATAAACATAAGTTGTGAAAGAACGTTTCTTAGCACGTGTACCCACTTCAAAATGTTTAACGGCGCGAATTACCCTTACATGAGTTCGTACTTCCATGCTATTCTTTAGTGCAAGGTTTCCACGTTCAAGTGTTTGATCCTTTGGCTTTTTACATTCAACCCTAGGATTTCCACCTTCACCTGAATAAATCAAGATATCAGGAGATCCTACATGGTTAGCGTAACGGCCAGAATTAACAATGCTTGTTGCCAAAATTTTCCCATCCTTCTTCATATACTCAATACCACGCCGAAAGTTATGATGAAGGCCAACAACAATTAGTTCAGCCCTGTTACGAAACTCGTCACCAACCTCAACTCCTAGAATCGGTCCTAATTGTTTCCTCATGTTAACCAATTTTCCTTCTTTTCTCAGACGCATTACTGCTTCAATATCAGGCCTCCAACAATCTCGTTTGTTGGCTTCACTACCATGTTTTTGACGGAGCTTAGCTAATGTCTCTCGATATTCATCCAAAGCCTCCTTGACATTATGAATGATTCCATCTCTATCATCAACTCTCGTCCTCTTTTTGTTGGGAAGAAGGCCGACTTTTCGTATCTCTAGTGTTTTGTCCATAAAGAGCTAAGATTCAAAAGTATTGCAGGAACGCCTACATAGAAAGTAAAAAGTGGCAACGGACCCAACATCAACTATGCTAATCTAAAAAGCATTGCATATACACCATAACTGCTTTCGACCAAAAAATAATAATACACCATAACTGGTAGAACGCGTAATTGAAAATTTTACTTCCAAGCAAAGTAATTAAAGTGCTCTCTCCAAATGAACAATTGGAAACCAAGGTCCACAAGGAAACAAATTCCTCTTTCTTAATTGAGAGGCAACCTCTCATTAATTATTCTTTATGAGTGCTCAATTTACATAGATTTTGAACCACAAAAATATCAAGATACATAGATTACCAATTATTTTTTATTTCCCTAATAGTTTGTAAAGATAACCCTTGACCTGAGTCCGATACAATTAGACAGTTCAGATCAGAGAGACGATTCTCAAGTCAAGTGAAGACCTAAACTTACGGATTTGTTAAAAACCTTCATCAATATTATAATATTTACCGGTCACAATGATATATTTTAAACCCCAAAATTACCGGTCACAAGCAGAGTCATATACGAAAATCCAGAAGAAACAAACCACTTTTGGTTTGAAACCCAAGATTAAATAAGTGATTTATGATACGAAACAGAAGAAAAACTATACCTTTTCAAATTTATAATGCAAGAGTATCACAAACGTTGACAGCAAAATAAAAACTATATTTCACATCTAAAAAAAACATATGAAGAAGAAATAGTGGTACAAATATAACTTGGAAAGAATAAAAATACCTGGTAAAGTAGAAACTAGAAATCGTGGTGCAGTCTCTCGCTCTCTCTCCTTGTTTATGTTTTGAGAGTCTTGGTAACTGAATCTCTTCTTCTGGTTTTGTGCTCCTCTGTTTCGTCTGTTCCGCTTCTCTTTGCCTCGGTTTATATATGGGCCTTAGAAGAGTGTAGGGTTTCTTAATTCCCAAGTTTAGAAGGATTCCTAGGAACTCACGACTTTACCCTGAATTTACCACTAGGAAAAGTTAATCAGCAAATTGCCATGTGGACATTCCTGATCTATTCAAATTCTACATGAATTAGGCATCATATAGGTCCTGTTTAATTTTAAAAATATAATAAAATAATATGAAATTTGTCATTTTGAGTGGAGTTAAATTTTTTACTATGTGTCAAATTGCCCCACAAGTCATTCAAATTTAATATTTTGTATTTGACATCTTGCTTTGAGATGCTCCAAATAAAAGCTATTGGGTTGGCCAAATGGCGAGGAAAAGACTAGTTAATGACTTATAATCTCAGTCATCCATTAGATATGTTAGTGAATTAAATATTTTTGTTTTAAAATTGTGTTGTATATACAATTTTCCTATTATCAAATTCCCTGCGTCCTTTGTTTCCTCCTTAGTTTTGTGACATGCGGCACACAACTTAACAGGAGTTAATTCTATTAACTCCTTTTTAGCCCTTTTTTAAATTAAAACTAGTCTCTCCGCACGCGCTTCAGCGCCTGCGAGAAGCTTTTAAAAAAAAAATTTTTATTTTAGAATTAAAAAAGATAATGGATAGTTGTGTTCCATAAAAATAGGATCCATTATTTGATTTTTCTTTTAATTTTAATTTTTTTAATATAAAAAAATGTGAATTTACCATACTATCCTCATTTAATTAATAATTTCAATTCTTAATGTTTCCATTAACCAAGGGCATTTTTTGGTATTTTGAATATTATCCTCATTTAATTAATAATTTCAATTCTTAATGTTTCCATTAGCCAATGGCATTTTTTGGTATTTTGAATGTTTTACCATTATCTGCCTTTTGCTTTATATAAATAGATAATTAAATATATTAGAATTCCTGCCATCAGAACTCAAGCCCACCCAATTGTGTCAACAACCCCACCCCGTCGGCGCAACACAACCCCTCTCCTCCTTATCGTCGGCAAGCCCCTTCTCTCTGTTTCCCTTCCCTTTTTGTATCTCTCGTTCTCCCCCTTGATGCTAGATCCAGATTTATTTCAAAATGGTTATAGAAGTCACTCGGGCCAATTAGAGAGTGAATCCCAAATATGAACCTAGATTTGTTCAAAATCATACGAAGTCATTCTTCTTCGTATCGAAAATCAACATCCCCCAATCTGTTCAAAATCATACGAAGTTTAAGCTTTGCATATTGTTTTATATGGATCCACAAACAAGATTAAAACATGCTCTTCTGATTTCTTCTTTGAAAGAGAGAGGGAGATCGAGAAGAAATCAGAGAAATCAAGGGAGAGAGAAGGGGGACAGAGGTAGAAAAAAAGAGGCTTTGCCAGCCGCGGGAAGGCAGGGGGTTGTCCCCGACTGGGTGAGTGACTGACGGGATTGACTGGTTTGGGGTTGCTAACAGAAGAGTGCATAGAGAAAGAAAAAAAAAAGTTTTCTTTTCAATATTTGTGTCATTATTCAATTGGATTTAACCGTTGTTATATCTCTGTTTAGTATGAAAACAGGTGGAAAAATATTTAAAAATAAATAGGAGGGCGCAGGGAAATTGGGCATAAGAAAATTGAACTCACTCTTTTTTCTTTTTTCTTTTTCTTACAATACAAATAAAACTCTCACAAAGGAGAGATGAAAAGCTCTGACAAAGGAGAGGTGAAAACTACACAGAGAATCCAAAGAGTCTCTGTGACTTATTCCAAACATAAAGAAACTGCCAAAAGGATGGTGGCAGAGATCCGACGCTGAAACGTAGGTGGAGATCCGATGTCGAGACGCAGCCACCTGTGATGGTTGGAGGAAAATCATAATAAAACGAAGACAGATAGGAAAAACCTTTTGTCTCTGAAAATGAGGGGAGAAGAGAGGGAGGAAGATAAGAGGGGAGAGGGTAGGAAGAACAGTAGCTTCCTCCCCCCTCTCTAAAGGGTTTTTGGGGAGAGAGGGGGCTAAGGTTTGGGAGGAAAATTGAACTCGCACTAAATACTACATATTACAATAAAAGCTGTTGGGTTACCCAAATGGTGAGGGAAAGACTAGTTAATGATTTATACTCTCAGTCATCCATTAGATGTGTTAGTGAATTAAATATTTTTTTTTAAAATTGTGTTGTACATACGATCTAAATGAATGAAAATTTAGCTTCCATGGGTTTTGTGCATTTTCAGTCGCGTATCTTTGAAACCAAACTGTCATTGTCCATCTCGACACTATGAAGTGGCTCTTCTAAGAATACAACAGTCACACCTCTTACCTTGTTTTAGAACTAGAATGTAGAGATTGTGACCGAGTTGTTGATACATTGGACAAATTAAAAATACATTTTGTAAAAAGGCGCCTTTCAATTTTACTAAACCAGAGTCTTACTTGACTACACATGGTACTTTTATCTTTAGGTACTCTATATTTTCTAATTCATAGTTTACTTGTTCTTTGGATTTGGAGTGCCCCTTTCTTAAGGCCGTGATCTGATCATCGTATCTTAAGTGATAAGATTTAGTAAACCACGAGTCTTGACCGGTTTCGAGTTTTTCTACCGCAAACACTTACTTGCATTAGACATTATGTTTTGCTTATCTGTGTGTAGGCATTCAATTTAATCTGAATTGCATTATTTATTTTTTAATTTTATGTGCTACTAAGATAAACCAATTAAGTCCTATTTTCCCGACAAATTTAACTTTAAAAGACTGTATACAAGGTCCCAGTAGAATATAGAATCATGTGTGCGAGAGGCGAGAGGCATTTATCACTCACGCTTCGCATGACTTTAAGCTATTAACAAATATATATTTTGGGTAATTGTATCTTTTGTACAATTAAATTCCCCTAAAAAGAAAAATTAGTATATAGTAATAAATAAAAACTTTAATAGTAAACATATGGTAAGTGGCCTATTTTCTTTCCATTTTCCCTTCAATTTTTTTTTTTGCACCCCTATAAACCCCAACCCGGACCTCGGTCGTCCCCTGCCACCATTAGCTGCGCCACCCACTGACCACCATCTCCGACCATCCCCCACCACATAATGTCATGTGACACCATTTTCATTTAAGTTAATTAAAAAATAATAATATGCAACTTATAGGACATGAACCCATGACCTCAACTTTACAGAAGGTGGCACTTAACCACACAAAGCTAGGCTTTACTTTATTCTTATTAAGGCCTTCTGCCTTTATATATATAGATGTTTAGTTTTTCTAGTATTTATATTATATTCTCGACCATCAACTTAAATATTTTTTTTTTCGTCTACACAAATGATCATTTTCTATTATCAAATTGGATAACTTAAATAGTTGTTCATTGATTAAAGTTTTTTTATTTATATAAAGATAAACACAAAAAAAAATTACACATTGTGCGCAGTTTCTAAAAATACTAATATAAGAGTAAAAAATGGACACTACATTGTTGATTCTATTTTACAAGCCTAAAAATACACATTGCGTTGCAATTTCTATTTTCTAAAATTAGTGTGATTAGGGAGACTCAAACTACAACGGCGGGCTGATTAGGGAGGCTCTCAAACAACAAAGGCGGACTTAGGTACATAAAGTGATAAGGAAACTAAAGCTTCCAAGTGACAAGTTCCGTATAATATGTGACAATTAACTTGTTAATTTCAGTATGTTAAGTTTTGAATGTAATTTGCAAAGTAGTTTCAATATAATTTGTCTAGATCGTTAATATTTGTATCTAATTGCTCTATTTAGTGGATGTTGAGTTTCAATTTGTTATTTTGATATTATTTATTTTTAATTGTCCAGGATGCTTTTTTATTTTTTATTTTTTAATATTATTAATATTGTTTTTAACGTCTAAAAGGCGTCAACAAAGAACACTTAAGTGTCAGGAATTATAATTCTTGATGGGTATAAGGGTTCACTGAGAGTTTTTCGATTGGTTTGTGACGCTTTTTAGTTGTCGACGCACACTATTCCTTGACGGCTAATAAGCGTCAAGTTTGAGGGTACCTTTTATTGACACTGGCACTCTTGACTCTTCTTGACCAGTCAAGAGATGGTTATGTTGACGCTTTTTATCTGCCAACTAAGTGTGTTTTTCTTGTAGTGAATATATGTGTAAAGGTTATATTCTATAATCCTAAAACTACCAATATAATAGTGTTTGAGTGTGGTTGAAAATTCACAGCAATTAATTACAACCCATAAGAATGCTTTCAACAATATGGTGCACCAATATATATTTATTCATATCTATTCATGCAGAAGGCACATCAGATCAAGTTGCATCTGATAGAATGGTTTGTTAGCCTCAACTAATGTATTTATATAAATGCACTCAATGAGTTGCCTTTATATCCAGAAATATCCCAGTATATGATGGCGTGGCTTTTTCAATTATGGCTACAGTTGGGGCACTCAAACAATATTTATCAATGATGTATAGCCATCGTGTGGTCCGCATCCACACGCCCAACACCATTCGCCCAGTAACATCAGCTATCTATCTATAATATAATATTGTCATTGGTTTTGAGCCACAGCATATTCAAACATTTGGTCCATGCGGCACTCAGCAGCATGCAAAAGGCAGAGTTAGTGGGCTCTGACCACTGTGGTTTTACACAACATTGGGAAACACCCAAACCAATTCATTAAAATTGCTCTCTGAATGGAATGAGTACTTTGAGTTTACCTTTCTGGAAGGGGCAATGTTTGCATGGCATGGTAGAATTCATTCATATCTATAATTTGCTGAAGATGACTCAAAGGCCATCAATTGGCCTATTGCCATTTGTTTAAGTTTTATATATATATATATATATATATATATATATATATATATATATATATATATATATATATATATATATATATATATATATATATATATATATATATATATATATATATATATATATATATATATATATATATATATATATATATATATATATATATATATATATATATATATATATATAT